TATATTCACCTCCAACTCTGTAATCTGCCTATGGGAAGAATATCTGGTATAAACATGTTGCTTGAAATCCTCTGATCCATAAACAAGATTATGACGATATGCTTCCATCATCCTGAGTGTTCTCTGATAGTATTTCCAAATCAATGTATTTGGAACTCCTGCCAAGGCATCTGGTACAGTTCTAACAAGGGCAGAAAATGTATATTCACAATTGGCCCTGGTATAAATCTTTGCTCGTCCCCAGAAATATTCAATGAAATTCAGTTCGCAATAAAAGGGAGGGTAGAAAATCACCTGATGCCCTGCTGTCTCTAAGGTCTCCTGTAACTGACACTTTTGTGCCTGAAAGTCAGGCTGAGATGACAAGAGAGCGCGAGCACAACAACTAGCATTTTTCGCATTCCTGCATGCAGGATTGAGCTTTCTTTTATCAGAGCTATTACCAGGTATTGAGCATTGTGTTAATAACCGCAGACCTGTTGGCCAAAGGCCACGTTCTTGTAACACAATTCGCAGGCCTTTAAGCTGACCATTCGGTAACATCATAGACTGCTGGACTACAACATCAGGATTGTCAGGATGTTGATAGTATCCATCTCGCATCGGAACTGCATTTTTCCCCCCTGGTGTGAGGTTCATGTTGCCAACTTGTAAGGCATCAGCAGCATACTTCTGGTGGATTTTGGCATTGTCAAAGGCGAATAATCCTTGACATCCTGGAAAGGCATTTTCAAAAGCGGGTATTGCTTTCTCTGTAAGCTGCTTGTGTAACAGCTCTCCTGTCCACCAAACATCACCACCACATTTGAGTATCTCACACACACTCCCATCTCCAAGTTGTCCTATTGGTGTTAGGAAGTCGGATACATGGAGGCCCTGCCCACATCCCTTCTTTCTTATTGGTATGTTATCCTCGTAGATCCAAATCTTTTTCTGACCATCATTTGAGTTAAATGTACACTCGTCATGTGTAATAAATATCAAAGGTCAGATTCCAGGTTGTAGCTGGTTGGGAATCATAGCCAAATTGGCATCCCATTGAGTCAATCTCGTCTTAGCGGATTCCATTTGAGGAAGAAATACGTTCATACGATAATTCTGGACATCTATCCTTTCATGTCTATCTTTATAGATTCCCTTCTTCACTTCTCTCCAGTTCCAACCTAATGTCAGCAACCATGCACATGCTGATCGACTAGTAAGAGCTCGCTTAATCTTGCGGTGAATACCTGCAATCGAAATCATTGGTAATTGGAGATTATGTTCTGATATCTCCTCGCGATAGGTGATGCTCCAATAGTTTGTAACTGCCTGAGCAAGGCCTGCTGAATCCATACCTAATGCAAAGCATTTCCATAATTAGCTTAGAGTCAAGAACATATAATTATTATTAGTTTGAGAAATATAATACCTTTACCAGCCTGGGCCATTGTTAAGAATCCTACCGAGTAGGACCTAGCGACAGGTAACGATACTTCTCCGTAAGGCGATAGCTATTAGGCCTATGTCTACGCGATCCCTATAGTCTAGTCCTTTGACTACTATAGTACTCGCGCCTATCTCCTTATTCTTCTTCTTAGTCCTCGCTTAGGACTTAATCTTTTCTTCTGAGAGGAAAGACACTTCTCGGGTTTCTTAAGATAAATCTTAAAGAGCATAAAGGTAGGTTTTATTGATAATAACTTAAAGGTAGGAAATAAACAAGAAGAACGTGTGAAGAGCTAATACTAGGGGTCCTAGTGACCCTTTATATAGTAGCTCTTCACCTGGCGTGACTCATACTTATGTGTCACGCGACCCTTGTGACTTATAACTATGAGTCACACGAAATCCATCAGCCGACTCTTATGAGTCGCTGCGCAACCTGCCTAAACCTAATCAAAACCTTAATAACTATTTCAGGTGCGCAACTCGCGTCACCTGAGTGAAAC